AGTGGCATGAATAAATTTAAATAGTCCTCCCTAATAAAATGGGCCTAAAATATTTAGAATAGACACTAGTAAGACTAATTTTGGCAATGGCAAAAACAATTAAGACTAGACGGCATACCATACAAATACAACAAAACTTTAACTTTCCAGGAGGATGGCTCAGGCCTCGTCTGAGTAGTAGGCCTAGCCTAGACTCTAGTAGAGGCTTGGCGTATTTTTAAGTTCTAACTTACAGCTGTCTCTTATACACATCTAGATGTGTATAAGAGACAGGTGTAGCAGCTAGCGGTGAGCAAGTTTCCTAAGTATAGCCCACGGTTATCAGTCCATGTCGTTCTCAGCAGGCCAGAACTATATACTAACTGTTTTTATTCAAGTATAAGTAGCCAAAAGGGAGCTGGTTAGCTTGTTATAGTCGAGACATCCGCATCTTCAATTTTGAAAATTTACCAAGATTGATTAATATGCATGAAGTTAGCCAATCACGTGATTTACAAAATCAGTCTTGCATACGATATCCCACACCAAATTTGATGTGGGAATTGCACGCATGAATCGTTTGCATGCCCAGGCCCTAATTCGAAAAAAAAGCAATCGAGTATGGGACGCCAATTAATTAGGTATGGCGCGCACTAAGTGCAATAAAGAGTGAGTAACATAAAATTAGGGCCTGGAACCCAGGCTAAGCACCCCCTAGTTCCGTCACCTCTGGATCCGCCACCGAATATATGTACTGGAAATAAGATTGATGTACATTCTTCACTGCCTTTTTTACCTTTTCCAATGTGTGGGAGTGTTTTCGATGCTGATTGGCTACGTCTACTGTGCGAATAATGTATTATTTACTATTTGCACGGTAGACAATGTTTGTATGATATCTAAAAAGGTATTTCGGTTCGATTAGGTATTCTGTAACAAATTAAGTAAGTTTCTCTTAAAATATTTAGGTTTTTTGAGACGATACCGTGTTAAATATTGTTAATTTACGATGTACCGTGCTAATTGGGAATAAGAACTTATTGGCAGGGTTAGATTAGACGTCATTAAACGTCAAATGCTGATTGGCTAGGTCTACCGTGCGAATAAGACTCATAAGAGCTTATTCGCACGGTATACCGTGCGAATAACCACTTTCATTATTAAATTATATGAACATTGAATTTCTGTGTTTGGTTTATTGTGTTGGATGTAGGTCTTATTGGAATATATGGTGACGGTGATGCTTAATGATGATGATGATGATGGTAATGATACGCAAAATATCAAAATTAACAGTAAAACGACGAGAGGTTATGTTGTGTTGATGGAAAATGATGTTACTGATAATGATGATAGTTTTCAATCAATCAATACGAATTTATTCCATTTCCAAAACATTATAATGAGAACAAGTTATCAAATCAAAAATGAATTGGAAAAGTGCTGGCAAAATAAGCTCAGAGCCAATTATTAGAGCTTAACAATAACAAAGAATAACAATCACATCCACAATCAAAGCGTTCACAATATAACAATACAATACACAGACTTCATAAAACAGCACAACCATAAGACAAAAAAATATGCAGTTGTACTTAAAAACCAGCCACTCCTAAGCGGAAAATATAAACAAAACTATTATAATAAAATAATTAAAGCAATGCCGTTAAATATTAAAATGGTGTAAAACAATGTAAAACAATTTGATGTAAAACTAGAATTTAAGAATTTAAAAGCTTTAACGATAACATGATTGATTAAAATATTGAAACTCTTTGTGCGTTACGAATAAAATGGGTGGGGGAGGGGGTGAGGGGGAAGCTGGTAATTGTTAGCGATGAACTGACGCTGGTCGATGCCTATTCTTCCGACACTGATTCTAAACTACTTCCTCCACTGATGAACATCGATGTTATTTCTGCAAACCTGACGGTGATGATTGACAGTCGGTTCGGCTTGGCGGCGTCATGATTTAACTTTACTTCCACATCGAGTGGGAAAGGCTAAGTTTGTTTGTTTGTTTGTTTATTTCAATTTTTCCACACATAAATAATATTTCAAAATACAATTCATTTTTAATCAAATTAACAGATAGTTGTATAACAGTATTTGAAATTAAATATTAATAATGACAATCGCATTTCATTCAATAAGTATAAATGCATGCATGTGTGGATGGAGTTCATTATAACTTCAATGAACTTAAGCTATGAACACCAGTAAAACATATCAACAATAACATATTCGGAGTATAACGTTAACAAAATAAATAACAATCATCAAGTAAGTCAAGAGAGAGAGAGAGAAAAAAAAGAATATTAATATATGGTCCCCTAAATATATTTTAACATATCATATTTATATTAAAATGAAATAAGACAGCAACATTTTAATACAGTCCATAAATTCCACTGTAAGGGTATTGGAATGGAGCCTGCAGCACCCAGTTGGCCTAAAATTGTTAATGTGTTGAGCAAGGTCGCGTATGCAGTGGCGTATCTAAAATTCTTGGGAGTGCTGATGGGAGAGCAAGGTGAAGTGGTGGAGGGGTGGGGGTGGGGGCTCGATTATCAGTTGAGGGACGCTAATTCGCAAAATAAGCATTTGTTTTGGGTGCACGTATGGGACTGTCGGCTGTGCAACGAAGCTTCATGTAGAATGCTACTGGGGTCTTTTCACAGTATGACAATGAAACAGTAGGCCTATAGGTGGATCGAGCCCTATAGTCAAGATGAAACACTGATCGCACTTTTGCCTAACTATAAATAATTTATGCTAACTTGCTATTATTTCACATAATGTATAAGTGAACCTATTTACATTTTATCAATATCGTAATCTGGTGTCTTACTATAATATAACGATGATTACATTTCTGAATAGTTGATATAAATTATCTTGTAATTTTCTTCCATAATCCGCCCTTTACGTTCCCAGTGTGTAAGGAGCAAGAATGGAAATTGTCCAGTCCAGTATTAGTGGTGGCGCCAGCTGGAGGGGAAGGGACTCGTCGGACGGGCCTCAAAAATAAAAATAAAAAAATAATTTGCCTATATATCCAAATAACGTTATTTTGACTGCCAATATAAAATAAAAGCACATTTTGGACCACACTAAGCCAGAAAAAAAAAAAACAAACAAAAAAAAAACTCTTCTCATGAACCCCACAAGGGAGTTTTATTCCGGGCCGTTGACCGAGGTTTCAGTGGCCCACTTGGCTCGGACCTCTCCGTCCGACATTTCGAACCCATTGTCGGCAAATTTCTGGCGCCACTGTACAGTTGTCCAGGATTCCATTGGACTATGAGAAGCACGTTTTGGTTGGAGGCCCGGATTTTTCCCCAAGAGCTCTAGGGACTTAATTATACCATCATCATCATCATGTTTGAATCATCATTGAAGCGTGAACAGCCAACGGTACCCTCCTCCTCCGCCCCCTCGTATAAGTATGAACCGCCCGACGAGATCGTAGACACCAGAGATCTTGAATCTTTTACTCTGTACATGTTTGACGGACGTGAGTTTTTAAACTGCCTATTATTTCTTACAGGAAGTTATACAAAATATTCGGTCACGGTTGCGGCTTTTGTATTGTATGTAAGCTACGTTGTATTTCCGCGTTTGTAACCCCATTGATTGAGATTGTAACGTAAAGGTAATTTATTTTAGAAGGAAGAATGTTGGAGCGCTGGAGTCGTAGGTCTAATGTGATAATCATCGTTCTTTTTTTACATAAATTTTATAAACCAGCAACGTCCCAGTGCCCTAGGTAAGTACTTCGGTAGTTGTATAGGCATATTCCAGAGAGAAATTAGATATGTCGGATTCGACGGCTAAGTCCATTATCATCATCATCATCATCATCATCATCATCATCATCATCACTATCATACTGTGATTGTATATTGTTAGTAGGCCTATATTGTACTGGTGATTTATCAATGTTTATACAAAACGATGTGTTCTTCCTGTGAAAATGAATAATACTTAAAACATAATGGATACAGTATTGTAACCTAATCTATTGTATGTGGGTAAGTACTGTAGAGAAACCATTCGAGGCTAGGGCACGACTACTTGATCAACTTGTAATGTTCTACCAGGAAGGTATATTATACCTATCTTGTACAACAATGGCTATTTGATCTTAATCAATATCCGGATTCTATATTATAAAGACAATATTCTATTATCTTAATACAGTTTACCTCCCATTCGAGACCACTTTGAGACCTGACAATTTTGGGTGGTCTCGGGGCTCGGTCTCCATTCAGAGGGTTAGCTTACGTGTTAAAAGACGTACAATTGTTACGGTATTTGGTTATTTGAAAAAGTGGTCTCTATTTAGAGGCTTATTGGAATGAGAGGGGTCTCGAATTCAAGGGTTATAGCACAGATATTGATAACATTTATTATTTTAAAATGTAACACGAATAGACATCTATTCAATGATAATTGTAGAGACATAATATAGCAGTTGACAATAATGACCATGACCGTTTTGCCCCAACATCGATGACATGCTTCCGCCGCCTTGCCACACACACGAACAACAATGGCAAGCATAGACTTCTTACATTGAATATACACCTCAATACATTTAGGTTACCTAAGTACATACACATTTACTATCCATTAAAAAAAAATTAAATCAACCGTTTAAATTACTCAGGGGCGGATCCAGAGATGTCCAAAAAGGGGGGGGGGGGGGGGGGGGCGAAATTTGGGCCGATTGAGACAACAATGTCCTAGGGGGTCCGGGGCATGCCCCCGCGAAATTTTTGTGTTCTAGACGCCCGAAAATAACAAGGCGTTGTGGGCTATCATTTTTTTTCTTTTTCTTTCTTTTTTCCTTTTTTCCTTTTTTTTTTTTTTACCTTCCAAAAGGGGGGCCCCTAAATCCGCCCCTGTTACTACCTCCATTTAGATCACGGCAACACCCCCACCACAGAAACGCCCGGTATATTGCAACACGGCGCTATAAATCATCAACATCAAGCCATGTAAGTAGGCCTAACGGAAGGTGGAACTATGGCCAAGTTCCAGAACTTTCAAAATTCCGTTTTGACCCGCTGCTCCATTTTGCCCCACTCTCACCTGCGAAGCTATTAAAATATTTAAATATACACAAGTAAAAGGGAAACATTAAAATTGGGGAAAATGAATAAAAGTATAGGAGACGACATAAACGTACATCAAGACACGCATAAAAACACATTAACTTTAAAAATATTGCACGACAGACCACTCAAATTGAGAAATTCAGTTATTTAACAAATTGACAATCATGGAACATTAAACATTATTTCACAAATTGATAATTAAATAACATTAAATATTATTAGCATGTTAATTATTTTAAATTGATTGCACAAGAGTCACGAATAAAGTATCAACTGCCTGAACAGATTGCAAGTAAATTTGAATTATAATTAAATTAAAAAAACAATATAAACAAATATTGCAAGTAGAAATTCCTATACCGGTAGGTCAACTGAACTGAGAGGGATACCGGTAGGTAATACGGTAAATGTTAATTATTGTTTAATAATCATATCTGTTAAATAAGGTATCACAACTAATGTGCCTAATTGTAACTTTTTCTTGGCAGTAGATTGTCATGTAAGTCAAACACGGATTGTTATCTGATATTTTCAAAAGATGGCAAGTATCATAATGCGAAAAATACCGATAATTCAGGTAATGGTAAAGAGGGTTGACATTGTGGATAAAGTGGAGGTGGTACGGAGGGGAGGGGGGAGTAGATGGAACTTTTATTTTATTAATAACGTTATGATGATGACGATGATGATGATGATGACGACGACGACGACGACGACGATGATGATGATGATGATGGTGATGATGATGGTGATGATGATGATGATGATGGTGATGATGATGATGATGGTGATGATGGTGGTGATAATGATGATGATGATGATGATGATAAAGAGGGGGAATGAACACGACCTTTTTAACCACCCAGTGTAATTTCAACTGGGTACCGGTACGGAATTGAACTCCTTTGTGTAGAGAGGCAAACGTATAGTAGGCCTAAGGTACGTTGCTCAAGGAGACTACACGAAATTCAAAGAGTGTGCTCGAGAAACTCACATGGAGGTCGAAAAAACCTAAACGCAACCGCATTATGTTACCATAAATTATATTTTCCACAGCGAAAAGGGCCCGGTCGTCGGACGAATGTTACACATTCACTATGAAAGATGAGGCGCCCGAACCATGCTCTGATACTCGAATAGAGTGCATTGATCAAGGGGGAAAGATTGTGAATATCACCAACATTAAACAATATGAAGGTTTAATGAATGAAGTGCTTCATATATTAAAAGTACGATCCAAGGCGACGTTCAATGTCCAGAATATTAAACAAGGAGAGCAATGTGCATACGTTAATATACAGGATGGTTTTTGGTCGAATTCGGGTGAAATAATCCAAAAACACACCGATACTAACACCACTGTGAATGCAGTACTGTGCGAGCAAACAGGTACGGTAGTAAGTGTCCGGTTATATGTTTTATTTTAGGACCTGGGGCAGTATAATGCAGATTGTTTTGTCCATCAGGGGATCATTTAAACAAAAAATTCGTGACCTGACTGGGTGGATAATGCCGTTTAAAAAATTTATCAGAGGTTTATTACTTTTTATATTCGTCCCGAGTGTCTTCCAGTATCGTTGGGATAAATAGAATTATAATTAAACAAATCCAGAAGGATAAAGAAGCCGAAGGGGATAGCATGTTCATTTTGTAGTTTTCTTGCCTTATCAATCGGTGCATGCTTTGAATATCCAATGTTCTATCCAATGCAAAACAATGCTAATTTTGGAGAATAATGTATTAATTTTGACAGATGCATTAATATTTTCATCGACCATCTCAACCTTAACATCATCGACCATCTCAACCTTAACATCAACGTTTGGTTCTCATACCACCGACCACCTAACTAATCAGATTTCCGATATCACATCTATAAAACCAGAACAAAACCAACAAACAGGAAAAACAGATAGGATGCGAACACCCATCGTCATCGTGGTAGTCTGCGGCATTATAATCCTTTTACTGGTATTCGTCGGATTCGCATATTCTAAAGTAAAAACAAGGAAGATAAATAACGAAAGGTATTTAAAACTATTATTTTTGGCATTATTACGAGAGTAAACCATACCGGTATTCTGTAAAGGGGTAGGCCTACCATTATTTTTTAAATGCACCTTCAGCGACATACCGTATTAAGTATTAATCACATCATTAGAAGGCCTGGGCTATTCACAATCCAATGGATTTGTATCATTAAAATTTGAGAGAACTATTCTGTTTTTAAGTAGTCCTACTAACAATCGTATAACACACAGCTAACCCTCTAATTCGAGAGAACCCCATGACCACCCTGCATTTTCTGGACCAAAATATTGGAATTAAAGGACCACATAGGCCTACTCGTTGTATCAAGGGATTAAAAGAGATCCAATGTTTATTTATTGGTCAAAGTTATAATATAGTTATAATATAAACAAACATTAAATTTTGTCTAAAATCTACAAAAGACTATAACATAACTATAACATATTTTGCGCTAGAATTATATAAATTTTAAAATTTGACTGTTATGGCGACGGAATATTTTATCGTTCTTTATTACCAATTAAAAGCATATACTGAACTAAAAACAGTATTTGCATCACACGACAGACACGCAAGCCCATGCTACGCAAAATAAAAGAGTCGTTATCAAACACCATGTCATTTTAATAACGACGAATTGTACAACGTACATTAGTAAAACAGAGGTAGGGGCAGCCGCTCACAGATAGTCATATATACTGTAATGTTCTGTGCTGCCCCTAAAGGCTTATTAACTATAAGGACTTATTGTAAACAAAATAGCATACACATAATACATGCATCCAAATGATGCAATAACATTCAGTTAAGCATACATGAACATTAAAATACTACGATAGAAATATTATACATTATAGTATTGTATTGGAAACGTTGCTTAATTCATAGTGGAATAAAATGCAAATACTTTACATAGTGATTAAGGGGTCATTCAGGTATTATGTAACGCAGAGGGGGGTGGGGGTATAGTGGAAAATGTTACAGTGTGTGACATAGGGGTGGGGGTGTTGCTTGAAGTGTTACATAACAACATTAATTTTCATGGGAAGAGAAGAAATATTAAATATTCAAACTTGTATGATATTACTTTATTGAAACATATTACATCAGTGTAATACAATGTAATGTAACACAGTTGTGTTGAATTTGTGAAATCAATAAACAATGAAGTTACATCTAACATATCAAAAAATAACAAAACATCCTACAAATTTGTAGTGTAGGACAAATTTGTAGTGGAGGACATTTATCCTCATACTTAATGTTGTTCATCTGATTTTATTAAAATTGTTGATGTTCGGAAGGGGGTGGGGTGGTTCTAGAGTTACATAACATTTAGAGGGGGTTTGGAAAAGTGTTACAAAGTGTTACGGGGGCGGGGTGTCAATATTTGCCAAAAAATGTGTTACATAATACTTGAATGACCCCTAAGTACACCAGAAAGTGTTTGGGTGTCAAACGCCCCAAAGCCCATCAGCATGATGCCACCCAAACCAGCAAGGAAATTCATATGTTTTTGATTTAAGAACAGGCGTAAGAAAGATGCCAAAATAGACTGTACAACTCAACCTACAATAGCAGAATATCCTTTCATTAAAAACGCCTAAATTAAAATCCTAATCAGGGGCAGATCCAGGATTTTAGAGAGGGGGTTCAAAATGTTCCAAAAAAAAAACAAACAAAAATGAAAGGGTTGTCCGATGGTCCTCCCCTGGAAAATTTTGATTACTAGATGGCCGGAAATGAGCTTTCTCGACTTTTGTGGAGTTTTTTAATGACCTTTCAGTTCTTCAAAATTCAATGTTATCCCCCTCCCTCTTGAAAAAGGTCAGGTAATTTTATCTCATTCTTTAGGCATATACATAGACTAAAAAATCAGAGACATAGGCAATATATTATTATATTCCAACAATGTATCGATGAACCGATATGCCCGAAGAACGCACATTCGTACATAAACTATTACGACGTCGAACCAAAAACAGCGTGTTAATTTATTTAATTGAAGATTAGATCGGCTAAGGCCCCATAAAAAAATTATTAGTTTATCACCCCCTCCCTTCTCAATTTTGGAGAAATTGTCAATCAACATATATTTTTTATTTCAAACGGCCGTTTTTCCATCTTTCTTCACTTGAAATCTCAGGATTTTTTTTGTAAATATGTTTATTGGTACAACAAAAACTTTTTTTTTAAATAAAAATTTGATTCCATTCTTATAGCTTTTTATATATATGTTTCTAACCATTGATTTACTTGTGAACATCGGTAAAATGGGGGCGAGGTTGGCAAAAAAAAAAAAAAAAAAAAACAAAACAACCTCCTTCCCTCATCAGTTTTTATTCTTACATAGGGTGATAAACTAATAATTTTTTTATGTGTGCACTATAAAGAACCCACTACATCCTTCGAGGTGAGTAGGGGATACCCCAGTGTACTGGACAGACAGCCCCTGTGGTGGACGACGAGTTGCTGGTACCGGTTTTCCGGGTAGCACAGACAAGAAGGGACCCTTAAGGGGCGAAGAAAGTCATTGATCGAGTTCCTAGTCCATGTATCAAGCGCCCTGAGCATCTTACATTAGATGGATATGTGCGCTATATAAAAATATGCTATTATTATTATATTTTAATGACTTATTATACTCCTGGGTAGAGAGCAGCAATGTAGATAAAGTGTCTTGCTCAAGGACACAAGCGAAATGTAATTTGTGAAAATATAATAAAACTGGACACTACAAAATTTTCCCTTTTTATACGGATTGAATAAAAGTATATATAATTAAAGCAGTACACGAAAATTTAATTAAAACTACTCCAGTATTAGTTAGGACTAACTTCACCATTCAAATATAAAGTTATAAAAGTATATGCATCCCCAATTACATGTTTGTATAAAAAACAACTTAGCATAATGTAAAAATTAGCTTTTTACCCAAAGGTGGCAAAAGACCGGGTGGCAACGGGCCTAGGTGGCAACATGCCTAGGGTGGCAAATGGCCGGGTGGCGAAAGGCCGGGTGGCAACTGGCCTATGATGGCAAAAGGCCGGGTGGCAGAAGGCCGGGTGGCAAAAGGCCGGGTGGCAAAAAGCCGGGTGGCAAAAAGCCGGGTGGCAAAAAATCGGGTAGCAACGGGCCGGGTGGCAAAGGGCCGGGTGGCAACTAGCCAGGATGGCAACGGGCTGGAACCCCGAACCCACTGCACCAAACCGATTCTTATATTTTACTACAATAATGTCCATCACTATGATCATTATGATGATGATAATATCAAAGAATAATCATTAATAATAACAATAGGGGCCTAATATTAATGATAATAATTAATTAGTATTTGAGACTTTCTTTGCTGCCTGTGTAATATGACATAAATTATAGAATGCATGTTCCTTAGATTGGTCAAACCTAAATTCGATTTATAGGCCTCTTTTATTATAAATTAACGAAATATATTATTCTTATCGTTTATTCGATTGAACGTAGGCCTATTATTTGCTGTAATAAGTATTTTTGCTTTATTTCCAAGGGCTCAGAATACGTTGGAGATGACTACAAATGCATGTAAGTTCAAATATACTTTAATTGTATCCTGTTATTGGTTTTTGGATTTGTTTTTATCTTAAGTATTTTATTATCTACAACTTTGCCATTTTAATGTATATTTTATCTATATGGAACTTTTTTAAAGATTTTATTGACCTGCTGAAAAGTTACTTTCATTTCCACATTGAAAAAATAAATTCTGAATCTGAATTATAAAATTATTATCATTTTTATTTATATTGTCATAGGCTATACTTACTATTATATTATTATTATATTAGAGGCCTGTTACGTTCTTGATCATTAACATTATCATCACAAGCATCATCATCATCATAGTCATACACATTTTATTTTCTTTCTTGTCATTAAGCGCATAGAGGCTTTTTCGCATGATGCGCTCTACAAATCCAACTATTATTATTATTATTATTATTATTATTATTATTATTATTATTATTATTATTATTATTTTAGATAGACAAACACACAGACAGACAGACAGACAGATAGATAACTGTATTGTCCTCGTAGTAAAATACAAATAGGCCTAAGGAAATTCATCTTCTATTTAATTGGCAAATGTTTAAAAAAATAATTACACAAGTGCAAGAAGGCGACAACAAATTTATAATAATGCTACAGCAAAAAAGACAATATAATAAACAAAACATTTAATATAAATTGGGTCATTCAATAATTATGTACATTATAAAAATAGGTCTATATCAATAGTATTTTCAACATTATTGTAGTTATATCGTATCATTTGTACTTATACTTTCTCAGGCAGATATTCCAATACCAATGTTTACAATGATGTTTCTCAGACCAACATTCACAATGATAACAGTACAACGCGTAATGTGGCGCCTGGTGATACCTACACGTATGTTGCAACTGAAATTCAATCTGTGACGCCACAGCCTGAATTACAGGATACGATTGGCAGAAACTACGAGCAACCACCTTCGGAGGATGACATGTACACTAACGTTCAAGCTGATGCAGTTGTAGAGACAGACGACTGTGAATACGATAAATTAAACCGGTCACGCGCAGTAACCTGTGCAGGAGATCATGACAATACGTATAACAGCCTCAATGAAGATGCTGGTGACACGGGACATTATGATTGTCTCCAACGATCCAACATTCACAATGATAACAGTACAACGCGTAATGTGGCGCCTGGTGATACCTACACGTATGTTGCAACTGAAATTCAATCTGTGACGCCACAGCCTGAATTACAGGATACGATTGGCAGAAACTACGAGCAACCACTTTCGGAGGATGACATGTACACTAACGTTCAAGCTGATGCAGTTGTAGAGACAGACGACTGTGAATACGATAAATTAAACCGCTCACGCGCAGTAACCTGTGCAGGAGATCATGACGATACGTATAACAGCCTCAATGAAGATGCTGGTGACACGAGACAATATGATTGTCTCCAACGATCCAACATTCACAATGATAACAGTACAACGCGTAATGTGGCGCCTGGTGATACCTACACGTATGTTGCAACTGAAATTCAATCTGTGACGCCACAGACTGAATTACAGGATACGATTGGCAGAAACTACGAGCAACCACTTTTGGAGGATGACATGTACGCTAACGTTCAAGCTGATGCAGTTGTAGAGACAGACGACTGTGAATACGATAAATTCAACCGGTCACGCGCAGTAACCTGTGCGGGAGATCATGACGATACGTATAACAGCCTCAATGAAGATGCTGGTGACACGAGACAATATGATTGTCTCCAACGATCCAACATTCACAATGATAACAGTACAACGCGTAATGTGGCACCTGGTGATACCTACACGTATGTTGCAACTGAAATTCAATCTGTGACGCCACAGCCTGAATTACAGGATACGATTGGCAGAAACTACGAGCAACCACTTTTGGAGGATGACATGTACGCTAACGTTCAAGCTGATGCAGTTGTAGAGACAGACGACTGTGAATACGATAAATTAAACCGGTCACGCGCAGTAACCTGTGCAGGAGATCATGACGATACGTATAACAGCCTCAATGAAGATGCTGGTGACACGGGACATTATGATTGTCTCCAACGATCCTACAGAAAATAGGCTGTCACCTAACCAATAAAACTATCGACCACAGTATTTAACTGGTGTAATAATTACTTACTATTAATACGTTAAAATTCAATCAAGCCTAATTTTTTTCTGTTTTACAAGCCAAAAAAATTAGTGAAACTCAAATTTTCCATCAGTAACATACACAGCGCCTTTGATATACCATGGTCGTTTAATTGGCGCTTAATGTTGTAATATTATTATTTAGAACACCCTAATATCCTACAGAAGTCAACACATTTGTACATGATAAGCCTATTGAGTATGTATACCCCGTGTATGTGCCTGCCTGCAATAGCAAATATAAGACTGGCTATCCGGTTTCCATAAACATTGCTACACGCTATCGTCGACTTATTTGGGATGCTGATTGGTCAATTGAATCAGGGAGCGTAATCCCAATTTCTTTTCCCGTAGGCTACGCAGTGCAAGGTTTGCAGTGAAAGCATCTGTGTAGCGATTCTATGGAAACAAGGCTTAACGAAACAATTAAAAGAATTGCGTTACGTATGAAATATCGGCAACGTTTTACCTTTCATTTCATTTTATTTCACACATTGTCCATATAAAATACAAAAATAAATACCAGTACAAGTACATGACGTACAGAGTACACAAAACTTTGTCATAGTTTACTTTATGTTTACTTTAAGAATAATATAAAATTGATTTTTTGAAAAATTAGTTAAATGTTCCATCTGAGTCGTAGTGGTTAACTATTAATAATTATGAAAATGGACGTTTTTACTGTTGTTATATATAGAAAGTATTTCGAATAGGCCTAATTGCTTTAATCTGATTGTTAGTAATTTTAAAATTTTAACTTGAAACTTTATTTTTAGCAATTTAATAGTTTTTTTTTTGTCTTTTTGGGGTATCCCACTTCTAGTTTTTTTCATAGTTATCATTACATAATTTGCAATTTTATTAGTTTTATGCAGTATTATAAAATATTAGAGAGAGCATCTTAGCTCAGTCGGCTAAACAGGTGGTAGACACTGGGTACGAGCTGATTTTTTTTTATTACTGTTTTCCTTTTTTCTTTTCTTTTTTGTGTGAAAATGAGACAAGCTTTGCTTCTGTGTTTGATCCCGATCAATCAAATAATGAATTAATAGATTGTGTTTTTGTTCCTTTCATGTTTGTTTGTGATTAATTTGTGATTGACTTTGTGATTAACTGAATTAACTGTGATATGAATGAAGCTTCAGAGTATGTCATTTTAATCTCTAAATCATTTCAAACTTGGTTAATAGACTGCTGCTGGGGGTTGGGGATACAAGCGTCCCTTACCACCACTAGATCCGCCACTTCTCTTCATTTCAGCCCGGATAGACAGACGGAAAATATTAAGAGTCATGTAAAAGCAGGAGGCTACTGGCACTAGTCCAAGTAGCCTGGATTCCAGATCCTAATTTTTGGTTACTCAATTTTTATTGCACTTAATGCGCGCCATACCAAATTTAATTTGCGTCCGATACTCGATTAAAGACTCAACCGAAAATAAAATTGTAATAACTTAACTTTATTCGCTCGTTGGCGGCGCTGTCTAGAATTTAAAAAAACTATAACAAAGGACTTGTGGCAAGTCTACAGTCCAAGTTATCCTGCCCCATCAAGTGGACATCAGCGTCACAATAAACTATGAAAATTAACTTTTACTACCCACCCTAACAAGAATGATAAGCAATCAAAGATGATCAAAAATTATGATTGAGAATTTCCGTTTAACAGAGATTGGTTCAAAATTGTATCAAAACCCAACGTTGTAAATTAAACAAGTTTATAAACATGAAAAGAAACTTGTGTGTTAACTGTTTACATGCTTAATGACTATCCTCTAAAGAGAAAATTCACACACATAATTTGGTATCGTTACTTGTTTAGGTCCACTTAAATAAAATATTATATGTCAAACATAAGTTTAAGCAAGATAATGTACACAATGCATATTTCTGCAATAACCTACTTTTCAATTTGTATTGGTGACGTCAATAAAAGCGCTGTCTGACCTCTTCCTACGTTCACCATTTTGTGACCTAAATGACACGTTGATCGTCTGCTGTTAAGAATGACAGAATGAATATTGTGCGAATATCAAGAAACCTATAGTTACACATTAAGATGTACATAGAAAATGATATGAATATTTATTTGAACACGTAGGCATATTAATATATACATATATATATATATATATATATCTGTCTCTTATACACATCTAGATGTGTATTCTTCAACTGTGTGGCGTCTACAATTAGACAGACACAGTTGATCCGTTATTAAAATGTCCTTTAATTTTAATATTGCTATTATCAACATTCTTATTAGATGTTTACTTTGTGTGGTTCGATATTTGTATTTTTTTGTATAAAAATATACTTTTTATACGAGTTTCAGGTCTTATAACTTAAATTATTTATAATTCAATTTGTAAAGAACAAATAATGGTTTTAATTTCATTGGTTTTATTTAGCAACCAAAGTATTAGAGGGCAGCAGGTGAATAGATGGCGCTATATAACTAATTTGATTATCACAACATTATACCGTAGTATCATATCATATATCCTATCATTAGATTCACTGTGTACTTTTTTTTTTTTTGTTTTTGTTTTTTTGTTGTTTTTTTTTTTTTGGCGAAAAGAATACGAATAAGAACTATTTCAAATTTTAAAAAAAAGAAATAACAATTTGTCGCTTTTGTCTTATCAACGATTGTGTGTTGAATATTGTAACATAAATATCAAAGCTTACAATGGGTTTTCTTTCACAACAGTTCTATTTTATAAAACTTATTTATTACAATTTATTTATACAGTATTGTAAAATATTTCTATTCAGAAACGTTTTATTCAAAAATATGAATATCATGCTAAATAGAGCCCACAAATACATGTGTCAAACCATAAAGCCAACATCTGTGCTAAGTTTTCAATACATGTAAAATCTACTGTCAAAATGTGTTTTTCTAAGTGAACTGATGTCTCTTGTTAGCCAAGGTCAAGTGAGGAGGTGATACCGGGAGACGGATCCGGATAAGCCACACAATTTACAGGAACATGTACTGGACAAATGGAAGCAGCCGTGATTGCTGCACCACAAGTTGGAAGGCCGTACCAAACAATCGGATTTCCGTCCTAACCGGACATCGCAAAAGAGTTAAACTTAGGGGTGGGGGAAGGGCCAGTATCGTACAAATTAATGAGTGATGAGAGAGGGGAATTGTTACATAAAATTGTAAAATATGCACTGATATACTAATTTATTTGACAAAAAAGTTTTTCTTTATTTTTATTACGCCAGCAGCTACCTTAAAATTTCAAAATATAAGATATGTATTATATTTCTCCCTAATTATATAGGCCTAAATTTAAAGCATTTAACTATCCCTCTACTGTTTACATTCACCAGTAACATATTATTTTTATCTTTGCGAAAAAAGGTATAAAAAAAGTCCTGCCTTTGCTTCGTTATATTGAAAATAATAAACACTTCAAAAACTCATTATATAAACTTTTATTAACGTACCGTAGTTGTTACAAATTTCTTCCATGTTAGTGTTAAAAAAGTAAGTTATTGGCTTATCTAAGAAAATAACTGTCTGTCGCCGTCTAGTAGTTTACTTTTTTTCACTGAAGATTAATGTTTGTTCATAGTCGTGTTTAAGCTTCAGTACTTTACTTACTACAACGTTGTAATTGTAGAACTGTTTAATCGATAATAAACCAAGCACAATTTGCTAACATATAGACAAAAGCTCTTGGTAAGTGTACATCAAATTGTGCTTGGTTTAGTATCGATTAAACAGTTCTACAATCATTATAAGCAAACCACTTAAAACTATTCAAATATTTACAATGGTTAATGGTTAATGGTTTTTAATTTATAGAGCACGTTTTAATTACTTATTCAATTTCATTTGCATGGACTGTATTACACTATAGTTACCAACTGTCTTGCATCATGCGGAACGGTCCAGTATTTTAAAGTCATTTTAGATGAAACACACATTTTGCCGAAACACATGCGTGATCAGAAAATTGTCATGCATGTAGTACAAGTCTATGCGTGATAACGAATTATCACGAATTCAGGGGAAATGTATTTAAAATACACTGACGCTTTTCCAAAAATTGATCAGTATGCCTTGGCATAGACCTATTTATTTTTGTTTGTGTTGAGTAATGTAATGTTTGTGTATATAGGTTTAGTTCGGGTGCTCAAATTAATCATAGGCCTACATTGAAACTCAAATCGTACGTGGCTTTATTAAAACATTTTTGTTTATCCGGTATTGTCAACAAATATTCCCTAAAATCGTTTTAAGCAGCTTAAAATGCTAAGATCGTCGGCCCCAACCGGGGCTCTCCCCCTTCACCCCAACGAACCCTGCTAACCCAACCCCCCATACCAAGCCATCTGGTGCAGTTACGCATTTCAAATCTCTCAGGTTCATAACTATGATTACATGTTTTAAAATAAATGCAATGGTGTTCGATGGATAAGTGTTTATACTAAACCGATTTTATACTTTTTTTCAAACCATGAGATGCATTTTGTAGTAAACGTCACTTATAATTTATTTAGTATCATTCGGTATGTTGAATTCGAATTTGCTGTTTGTGGTAAACTAATAATTATATAAATAGTGGAGGAGAGGTGTTATCTATCATTAAATATATTTTTAAAAAAGAAAAAAGAAGAATGACATTACAATCTACGAATTGTAAATTATTAATAAGTCGGACAGATTGTTGTTTGGTGATGCGAATTACATTTACTTGGCTATAACTTTCGACCGGCAAATCTATTATTGTTGAAAGTATATCTTAACTCATCTGCACAAGGTAGGTCTAACCAAGTTTAACTATAATTATTATAAACCTATTTAATGAGAATTTGTCATGAATTTGGACCAAATTTAATTAATCATACCATTTCAAAATGGTTAGGCCTACCTATATATATTATTAAATTAAATTAAATTATGAATATTTTTATTTATATTAGTTAATAGAAATTCAAGTAATAGTATAGCATACTGGATTTAGAAATCTAGAGTAAGAAGGATTGCTTCCCGACGATGTTCATTTATATAGTTGTTAGTGTTTTATTGTTCTCTTTCATATTGCGTCATTTATACATTTTAGTATGTTATGTAGGGTTTTGATGTGCTAAATTGTATTGTGATACTTTTTAATGTTCCAATTTTCTATTTAACCGTTAATGTATATTACATATCGAGTATGGATATTTTGTAAATTTATATTTTTAAAATTCTGTACAGCGTTTGTGATCATTTTAATTGGATATTGTTTGTGCTACTGTATATTAAATAAAGTTATTATTATTATTATTATTATTATTATTATTATTATTATTATTATTATTATTAATATTATTATTATTATTATTATTATTATTATTATTATTAAAAAAAAAAAAAAAAAAATTACTATTACTATTATTACTATTATATTATTATTATTTCCATTTCATTTTCATGTCAGCGGCTTTAGTCAACAATTTTTTCTTCTATTTATTGGGTATCAGTATATCACCTTGGCTGTCCCTCTCTTATTAAAAACTACCACTTCTTCAGATTTTTATTAACTGTAAAATTTTAATTGGAAAAATATCACCCTGTTTTAATGGCATTACGATCTTCATGCTAAAAACATCCACAATAAACTTTATATAATTTTAAGTACGATTTTTCAACTCATCACTTTAATTTGAAAAGAAACTCCAAAATAGAAATCAATCAAGATTATGCCAGTATTTAATAGTGGTAACTATTCTTGTTTTTATTTGGTGTGGGAAATTGTTTGAGAGCAGATCAAACATGTCCTAATAGAGACATGATTCCACCTTTCAACACACTTTTGTGCAATGTAGATCCTGCACAACTCTTGTCAGATCTGTTCATATCCACTGTGAACAGACTCGTGATATGAGAAAATCTGTCATGACGTGATATCATTAGCCACATACCATTATGAAATCATTGTACGGCATTATAGAGGGCGTGCTAGTACTTAGTGTTATTATAGCTCTTGGGGTATGCGTCTTCGTCAGGGCATGTCCTCTTTGTGGGTATTATTTTAAAGTATCGGTCGTTGTTTATGGTTTGGTTTCCGTTTGTTCCTTGATTTGTATGATAAACACAAACCTCTTAGAAGAAAGAGAAGGCGAATGCAGCCCAAAACCAGAGGAATTAACTTCAAGTGTTATATACGATGGAGTTAGTTCTGTTTAATGTTTTGTCTTAGTTTCTTTATCTTACAAACAATGTATACGTCAGTTTTATTTCTTATCGGATACAAAACAACACACAGGCAACATGGGTAGGCCTATTTGCTTTTTATTGCAATTTGGCTGTACTTTTTCTGTCCTATATTTCAGACAGTTCTGATAATTATCTGGCAAACACATTCAATTGACCGATCAAGACGACATCGTCTTAATAAGAATTTGTTAATATTCCTAACAATTACAAATTTTGCATTGCGGATTGGCGGGCATTATGAACTAAAACTCGGGGAACTTATTCAAAACAGAGGCACAATTATATGGAAAATATATGTGGTACATAATACATCACATTACTGGCCCGTTTCTGATCCTATACTTTTTCCACTAATATGTTTGTTTGAAATATGGACATTATTTGATTCAGTGTAACATTAATTTATATAAAATGAGGTGAAGCAAAATAGAAATTATTATTGATTTGAATATTCTTTAAACTTACTACTGAAATTCTACGCCGTAATGAACCATTGTCGAATAATGTAAACTAATTGCATTATGTGTGCATGCACATTTTACAGTATAAATTAGTTAGTATTCGATTTTATGAGAACAGTTTTTAATCAGCATATTCATATTACTATCATACAGTAGGCGAATAGAAAATTTGAATTTACAGGGACAAAATAATGTAGGCCCTAAATTTTGTATTTGTATAAATGTATGTGTATATATGTTTCATATTTATATCATGCTGTAAATGTTGCATTTTTTAGATTAAATAAAGTTTTGAATTGAAATTCAATTGAAATGAAAAGGAAATTCACTATTTATAGCACGTAATATTTAGATCCAGAAAGTTAGGAAGAATCGTGGTCTGTAGGGAACGATAGGGTTATATGATAACAAAGTGTTTACTACGAATAAGAAAAAGAAGTCAATAGTATTATTTTTAATATCTTAAACTAAAGACTTTTTGTGTTCATCGCCTGTGAATCGGGCTTTGCTTTATAAGCATTTTACATTTTGTATTCTTCTAATTGTCGTATGTATTTTGACCATGTATTTTTTGTTGAAGGTAGGCCTAATTATCAAATAATTGTGAATAAAATTGTATGAATGAATTGTATGGAAGTTTTAAATTCTGATAGATATGACACACCGCCGTATGTAACGCAACTAGTAATTTGGTGGGCTTTCAAAACCAAATGGTTGTAATAAATAACAGCCGCTGAACGAATAGGTTAGCTACCCAGCCGGACTTCTTAAAACATTCTTACAGATCAATAGCGTTCATCACTGCTCCGATGACGTACTTAGTGGATGCGCAGGGCCTAAAAAAGATCGCAGCCCCAAGTCACAACTATACTGGAAAGCTTCGAACAAAATATTGTGCCAAAGTAGTTAAAAATCACCTCATACCACCTTATTCTGCTGGATATCGCCCCTTACTTAATCATGGAGCCCTTCCACTTCACCTCCGCCCCCCCCCACTTGTCAGGCCACGATTTCAAGTTAAATGAGATATTTTTGATAAAAATATAAAGTAAAAATATAGCATTAATCAAATTATTTATCCCATGCTTTTTAACATTTATTTTTAACCAATTGTATTTATGCAAAAGGTAATCCTGGCGATTTCAGTCTTCTGATAATCAACTGCTTGCTCGCAAAGTTTAGTTTTGCACACAAATACATTTGGGAACCAAAGATCCTTAATGGGGTGTCTCCTTAACAGGGTTAACGGAAGTGTTAAAAGATACATTTTCTATTATTACACGAAAAAGTGTCTCCGTAATAGAGATGTTCCCCGAATAGTTGTATCATAAAGGAAGGTTCCATTGTATGAGTCCATATTAAAACTTTAGGTGTGGAGGCTGTGTTTGATGTTTTATTTTTATCCTGTTTTGTAGATATTTATTGTTCTCTTACAGGGCCCAGTTATGGTTTATTAGCTAAATCTCATAATAAGCCTTGGAGAGTGGAGTTGTTTTAGTCGTGAGAAAAAAAAATCCCGCTATCACATGAATTGAACCCAGTACCCAATGGTTGGAAGGAGAGCATCTTAACCACCACGCTATCCATCTCCAGTTGTAGGTATCCAGTGTATGTTTTACCATAAAAAATAAATGCATCAGAAAGAACATTATGAACGGACTTTCAGAATTGTCAATAAATCTTAAGAACTATCAATTAAAAGTAGACAAAAAAATCAGATGAAGTACTTTTAAATTAAAATATTAAAATTATTCCGGTAACAAAATGAGCAAGTATGACTAATTGTTTAATATTTCAAGTTGGAAATAAATTCTGAAATTTTAAAACATTTGGGTGTATATAATAGTATTGTTTTATATATTGTTTCTAAGAACAATTAAAGCAGGACATTTACAACATAATAAAATTCGTCACCTATGTCGGTGTATTACAAAGTGAACATAGTTTCCTTGATGCCTCCGGCAAGTATCAACATTCAGAAATAGGCACATAACAAAATCTACACAGGTTTATTATATCGGGCAAATCACAATTGTTTAAACAATTTATAATTTACACACAATATATTTGTTTTTATTTCATGTGATCTATTTTGCATTGCCATATCATCCCGTCTTAATCCATGTTTTATTACAATTGTCTTGTTCATGAAAAAGATTGTACAATACCACACTCATCGAAAACAGTAATCCATGCTGCTTTATGTTTCTAAGTAATATAAATATTATAAAGAAAAAATTATAAAGCCTACGAGTTATAAATTACATAGTTGAAAGTAATATAACAAAATATCAGTACAGTAGTTTGATTGTTTTCTGTAAACAGAAAGTGAAAATGAAACATTTATTACAGATAGGCCACTTTTAATTTTAGACTACTTATAAATCACGAAACTATACATACACAGGTGTACAGTTACTATACTTCCTGTTAAGCATTAAACCTGTTACCCTCCACCTACTGGTACTTTGAGGTGCTTCAGTGTATTGTAAGTACATTTTAAAACATTTAAAATATTTTTTGAAAGACAAATAACCTGCTGCCGGCGACCATCAGAATAGTAGGAACAAGTCTGATACGACAGGAGATAGAAAAGTAAAGTAAAGAAAAGACAAGGCGATTAACCTGGTGGCCGAGGTTCGGTTTCACCGTCAGCTGCAGTCGTGAATGTGTATTCATGCGTTTGTAAGGATTTAGTGAGCTGACTGCTTAACTGCACAGTTTTGTTAACTTTGCTAGTATTTCAGACTTACTTAAAAGCTTAATAAAATAATTTGAAATAGCAGAAAAAAGAATATTTACTGATATTCATATAATAATCGTAAGTTGCTAGGACCATAATTTTTTGGTTCTATTTTTCAAATTAATAAATCAATACACCAACCAACCAACCAAACAGCCAGCCAGCAAACCATTACCAACCAATCAACAAACTAACAAACCAACCAAACCAACCCGGTTCAAATAATCCATCAATCAACCAACAACAGACCAAACAACCAACCAACCAACCAATCAGCCAATCATTCAAACAATCAATCAACCAACCAATCAACCAACCAACCAAACAACCGGCAGGCCAGCCAGCCAGCTAGCAAGCCAGTCAGTCTGTCAGTCGGTCAGTCAGTCAGTCAGTCAGTCAGTCAGTCAGTCAGTCAGTCAGTCAGTCAATCAATCACTTTATTTAAATAGCACAAAATTCAGGATCTTTTCGTTGCGTTTAACCATAAAAAAAATAACTAGAGCAGGCATTCAAAAGGCCAAAAAGTGTTTCATTAATAAAAAAAAAAAAAATAAAAAAACATTTTAAAAACTGAGAACCTATCTAAACATTTTTATTAGATTGTTAAAAAATATTGAAGTGTCGTCAGTGTCAATTTCTTTCTAAAATGTGAATACAAATGAGTTACATTATTTTTGGTCATGTAGTCCAATATCTAGTTAGGCCAGCGACTGGGCCCTAAAATTTTGTCTTACAGGAATAACATACTACATAAATTCACAAAATTTGCACTTTGCTTGTATATAAGAAACATAGAAAGCAGAGGAGTTACAATCCTGGACAGTGCTTAGATTTGAGCGCCGCTCGAGCTTGGTTTGTTGTTGATTCAGCCAAAAAGTATAGAATAGCAAGAGGTACGACTGCCCTGATTTTGCATACACGCAGGAAACGAAAAAGGGTACTACCACGAGGTAGGTGGCGCCCTAATACATTTGGAATAGACGCAGCACGCTTGCGATACGAACGACCTTTACCTTTTAAAGTTCTTTTGAAGGGCTTCCTCTAGTTCTTTGTAGTACTTTCAGATAGATAAGATAGGATTCCGTTTAAAAAAAAAATCAACCTCGACCTTTTGCTGTGCTATCCTCGCACACTCTGCTTATGTAAAGTTAGACCCAAAAGGGCAATACTGTACAACATTTTGTTTTGCCCTAATAAATATATTTTCGTGCACACTCTGCGCCGAGTGTCATTGGCCGACGAGATCCTATGAGAACGCAAGGGCTGAATTTAGGCTACAGTGGGCTTAGATAGTTCATTTATTCCGACATCAGGATGCGTATGCCAGAGGGATATACTATGACTTTTAAATAACTTTTTTAAATGAATAATATGATTTTGCGTCTTTCCCGGCAGTTATAGTATCTATTTTAAAATGTTGTTTTATATATAGTTTCGTCTTTTGCCAAAATAATTAATAATTATAATAACGATAATAATAATAATAATAATAATAATAATAATAATAATAATAATAATAATAATAATAATAATAATAATAATAATAATGTTGATAATGATTAATATGAAATTGATGAAGATACTCTTTTGTAACCCGGCCACATATTCATCACAATCATGATATCATAATGCCTCATATATTACATAATATTTTATTTATCTCCTTTCCTAAAATTTATACTTCTATATATTTTCTCTTTTCTATAGTAAAATAAAGTATAGATTCTATCCTACTATTGAAGTTATTAGTAATTCGGTCTTATATTTGGCTTGCAGATAAATCATTGGCAAATGATCGTTGCAAATGATTGGCATGTTTTCCATATTTGTAGAGGCATTTTGAATACTTTGCGATTAAAATGATTTTATTAACACATATGAAGCAAGGATAATAGATTTACCAGAATAGAAAAATAGTTTCGAAACTTCACAAGACACTTGGTGATAAGTGTAATTAGTTTCATTTCCTTTAGTCTGATGGCATGCGACTTATAAATGGATCAGTATTGACTGAATACATATTTACAATATAATGTTGTCTGTTGCTAGATTCAAAACAAAGTTTATCATGTCTGCATATCTAAGTGTCCAGCATTCATCTTCCTCATCACTGCCGCCGTCCTCATCATACTCTGCCGACTTACACTCAACGTTGAATGCTTCATCATCATCCAATTTCGCATCGGCATATTCTTCACAATCGTCGCCCTTGTCCTCAAGGAACCATGAAAATGAGGTTCAGAATTCAAATAATGAGGATCCTTACAAGTAAACTAATTCAATTTTTAATTAATATACGGAGCCCCTAAAGGAACATGGTTAAAGAAAATATTAAACTATTTCGAGGGAACGAAATATTATTTCGAGGGAACGAAATAATATTTCGAGGGAACGAAATCATATTTCGAGGGAATGAAATAATATTTCGTTTGAAATATACATAGAATTTTTGTTTCTCCCCGACGAATTGTGCTCTTTCTTCTTGACGAGGTGGGGGGAGCAGACGGGGTCCCTATAGTATTAGGTGTATACTCTTATACACATCTAGATGTGTATAAGAGACAGGCTATCCTCGCACACTCTGCTTATGTAAAGTTAGACCCAAAAGGGCAATACTGTACAACATTTTGTTTTGCCCTAATAAATATATTTTCGTGCACACTCTGCGCCGAGTGTCATTGGCCGACGAGATCCTATGAGAACGCAAGGGCTGAATTTAGGCTACAGTGGGCTTAGATAGTTCATTTATTCCGACATCAGGATGCGTACTGTCTCTTATACACATCTAGATGTGTATAAGAGACAGATACTATAGGGACCACGGAGAGTTGCGCCCCCTCCCCCGTCATAGAGAAAAAACAAAATTCGTCGGGGAGAAACAAAAATTTTATGTATTTTTTACATATTACAGTAGACTCTAATATCGATTAAGTAAGACTTTGAAACCCTTAAATTGTCAAACTGTCTAAACCTTTTAATCGTATCTCGACCACACCCACTTTGCTTTCGTCGGGAAAATCTGACCCCTCGTCAGAGGCATCGGAACCCCCAGCCGGAGACCTCGGCTCCCCGTCGGGTAAATCCTGGCGCCACCCCTGACGAACAACCGACGCTGAAGGCACTGTGGGCGTACCATACACGAAATATTATTTCGAGGGAACGAAATAATATTTCGAGGGAACGAAATAATATTTCAAGGAAACGAAATAGTTTAATATTTTCTCTAACCATGTCCCTTTAGGGGCTCCGTATTAATAAATAAAATGTGGAATTAAATGTTATAAAGTTATATACTAAATTGCAGACCTGCCAACCCTTGCTTGGGTCATGAAAATCTGGAGATTTTTTTAAGAATCTTAAAAAAATCTTAAAATTTACCAAAAAATCCAGAGGTTTCCAGAATTAAGATGATGGAAGATACCAAAAAAGTCAGGTAACTACAAATCATTGGCCGTTGGTGGCGACATTTGAATTGAAAATTGCTGCTTGTTTATTGCACCGCGAAGCGAGGAGGTGGCAAATACATTGAGTAATAACGATCAAATCAATCAATTTACAGTATGCATAAATCGGAGTGTTTTTTTTCGGGGGGGGGGGGGGGGGGGGGGTGGTCTGTGAAATCAGGTGAAAATTACATTCCATTGGGTGAACTGGAGATTTGTTGAAATATCGGGTGACACCCGACAGGATCGGGTGAGCTGGCAGGTCTGCAATTGTCTCAGTTTATCATTGGTGGCCCAGACGTTTTTCCAAAAAGGGGTCCATGGAATGAGTAAGACCAAGGTGAACGAACTATGGTCATGAAAATCCCCGTAGAGCGGGTCAGGGGGGAAAGATTTTAAGTTTTAGAACGATGATGTATTTTTTAGATTTCAATAACAGATACTACAATCACAACGGGCCACATGCGCTCCGACGACAATGTGTTACTATACGACCGCGGCCCGTGAACGTAATTTTAAAACATAAAATGTGTGTGGCAAAGACAAAAAAAAAAAAGAAAATAGAATAATAATACAATGTATTATTCTAAAATTAAAAAGATGGAACAAATTTGGAAAAGTCAAATTTCACAATACAAAATTACTGGAAGTAGGTAAACTCGGCCCCAATTCAACTCGTCTCAAAGTCAACTTGGCCTCAAGTCAACTCGGCCCCAAGCCAACTCGGTCCCAAGTAGTCAACTCGGCCCAAAGTTAACTCGGGGGCCAAATTTACTGTATATTTACGAAATACTTTGCCAAAATGAAAATTGAATGCAAAGCCAAACATACCAAAATAAAAGTGTTTTAGATTTTGTCTTTGATATTCCTTTTTCATTTACAATAATAACAACAGCATTAATAAATATAATATTAAAATAGTATTAATTAAAAAGGCATAATATAAAAACTAATGATAATGACGTTATAATAACATAATAATGACAATACTAATGATTTATAGGCATATTCAATATGCATTATATATTGGCCTATGTATTTAAATACACATAATATGATAGGTCAAAGTTATAAAGTGTTTTTTTTAAGTCCATATATTTGGTATTCGTTTCTTATTATTTTTATATATAAAGATGGTTTAGATTTCATATATTTCAATAATTCTTTTCACTGAGTCGTATACTGTCGTCCTAGCAAACCTGCTAGTTTATTAGGTACAGTAATTATATTATTGTATTTGACTTGGGTTTTCTATATTTTTGTATTTGAATGGGGATTAGTCTATTTTTGTATTTGACTAGGGTTTAAATTTTTTGATTGATGTTTCTCATTGGCTGTTTGTGGAGAGTGTCCCCAATTCAGCTTTTAGCTGCTAAGGAACTCTATCTTGCCAACTTGATTTTATTTTTTATAAAGATTTTGAATAAAGATACGGATATAGGCCTATATCTCATGATTTACATATATATATATATATAGACCTATATATATAAATATATACATATATAATGTATATATAAGTGTATGTATATACATACAATGTATACTTAAAATGTCTATTGATTTTATTGTCATTTTAAATATCCATTTCATATCACGTTATTCGTTTTTTATTTTTTATATAATGATGGTTTAGATTTTATATATTATATCATGATTTATATATATAAGACTATATATATAATATATATTTTTTATAAAGATTTTGGATAAAGATACGGATATAAGCCTATATATCATGATTTACATACATATATATGGGGCATTCCACAGTATTTTTTTGTTGCGGACATTACACTTAAGAGAATTTAAAATTCTATATCTAGTAAACCACTGAAGGGAAACATTTTATTTTTTGGTCAATTATTGCTTACAGACTGAAGTTTAAGTCTGTATTAAAAAATGAAAAAAAATATTATAGTGTGACTGTAAAATCGAATTATGTCCGTGTTGCGGACATTACAGGATTGCGACTTGACTTTTGACAACATAAATATAAATCAAAAATCCTGTGCTGTTTCTTGAAATATCGAATATTCCTTCATATATTACATATTTAGATAGTTCTTCTTGCCATACCAAAAAAAAAAAAAAATATGTAATATTTCGTTGTATATAAGCGATTATCTGCGTTGCGGACATTACATTTATAAATGTCCCGGACATTACAATTTTGTCTCACCTACAACAGAGCCATAAAAGCATGTGTAAATGAAAAAATAAAGTCAAAATATGCTTTCAAATACAGTAACCATTTATTTCAAGACCAATATCCATATGAGAAAGGCACAACTTAATTATTAACTATTAAAAAAAATTAAGGTCCTTAACATTATGTTTGTATGTAATAAATATTGACACCTCATTTTATATCCTCGGCAGTAACTTATATATATATAGCCTGTCTCTTATACACATCTAGATGTGTATAAGAGACAGGAATCCCGTCGGGTGCACTGAGTTTCCGGCTTTACAGTCACTGTCGTCATCACTCCCTCAATATCTACCGTTGTTGGTCACAGTCAATGTGTCAATTAACCAGGCCACTACTACTGTCACTGCTACTGCTACTGTAACTGCCAGTGTCACCGTCACTCTTTTAATAATATAATAATAATATTTAATTGTCAATTTATATAGCGTATAATGTAAAATACCTCTATGCGCTTTAGAACATGGTGTGGTAAAAAATTATTAACAGTTTCACCTAACAAAAATAATGAGTAACAATAAAGAATAACAACAATAAAAATAAATATATAACCCATTACAAATTACAAAGAGTACATCTAATAAACATATCCAACTCAAAATTTTTATGAAAATTTTTTTTTACAAAAAATACAAGCAATATTCAAATGTAATGTCCGCAACATAAAATTTGCATTTTCCATATTTAACGTAAAATATTTTCCAAAATATCAATAATTTTTATTTTTTTTTTTTTGGTTTCATATAATTCAATTTATCTATTTTCTGAAAATGTCAAACATCATATATAAAACGCAATTTGAAATTTTTCAATGCATGTCGCAATTACTGTGGAATGCCCCATATATAGACCTATATTATATAAATATATACATATATAATGTATATATGTAAGTATATGTATATAAGTGTATGTATATACATACAATGTATACTTAAAATGTATATTGATTTTATTGTCATTTTAAATATCCATTTCATATCACGGTATTCGTTTTTTATTTTTTATATAATGATGGTTTAGATTTTATATATTATATCATGATTTATATATATAAGACTATATATATAATATATATTTAGATATATATATATAGGCTTACATATATATAATGTATATTTAATATTTCAGTAACCCATTAAGAATTGCCATTATTATATCATCAGTCTAAGTTATATTATATCGTTTCATATTGTTATTAATAATATTATTTTAATATTATTTTTATTAATGCAGTTTTCATTATTTTTTATGTGGATGTAATATAAATGAAAAAGAAATAACAAAGGCAACGATCTAAAATCTTTAATTTTGGCTTTGCATTCAAATCTCTTTTGGTAACCAAGTACCAGAGAACAGTGAAATAATTTCACTGTTTCCTGGTAAATGCACTGTAAATTGGGGCCGAGTTGACTAGGGGCCGAGTTGACATGGGGCCGAGTTGACTTGGGCCACTGGTGTACATTATGTCTACCGTTACTTTATATATTGTCTATCTTATACGTGTAAGAGGACTAAGGCCTGTACCTTGTATCGTATATGCCTACTTTGTAATAATAAATCATTGTTGTATGTTTCTGTACAATTTTATTTTTGGGGTATACAATTCACATGATAGAGTACATCCATAAGATGTCCTAAGCAAACAGTCTCAAGAATGGATATAATACGTTATTCCGTACCACTTTAGTATACCTTGTTCCTGGTATGAGATAACTAACCGTATAGAACAATGTAGATGACACCTATAACCTCTTAAAAGTCATTGCTGATTATGTATTTTAGATTTGAAGCGAGTAGGATTTTGAGTGGAATATACGGTCTTCTTGTCACGTTTGTGGGAATTTGTATCATTAATGCTGCGGTTATTATTCCTGGCGAGGCTCCCAGTAAATCAGTGTCATCAGCTAATTCATCAACGCCTCCTCCTGGACTCAATACAATATATAATAACAACTATCTGGCATTTGTGTCAGCGATTGGCCTGTTATTTATATTGTCTACATTCGCTTATGATGTTTATATTTATCGTACTTATGTTACGTCGATTATTGATACCACGTCAAGCAACACGTTACAAGGTTGGATGATTTTATTCCTTATCTTTTAAACTTCATTTAATTCTTACTCACCTAATCTACAGTTTTATGTTCATTATCGGGTTTCATTTATTATCTCGTTCATTGATATTTTAATGCCATCTTTATCTTTAGTATTTTCGTTTTACATTTGTGATTTCCATCTTCATCTCTATCTTCATTATCTTCTAATTATTCGTCTTCATCATCACCACCACCACCACCTTTATCAACTTCTTTTTCTTTACATTTTTGGTTTTCATCTTCAACTTTATCAAAGTCTTTTTAATATTTCTTTTCCATAGGCCTTGCTATCCTCATCAGCGATCGTTATCGTCTTCTTTAAGTTCTAATAGGCCTATCTTTTTAAAATCTTTATTTACCATCTCTATTTTCAAATTCAGCTTTATTTGTTTACTACTTCTATCATAATTATCTTAATACCATTAACATAATTAATTAATTAATTAATTAACATCGTATTATTCACTTGTAGTTTCTATTCATCTTTCAATTTTTAGTTTAGTTATATTTTCAATTTATTTATTTGAAGCTATAAACCGTCTCTTTGGATTTGCCGCTGTGATGTACATGATTATGAGTGTAGGGATTATGCTTAATGAGAATGCATACAACAGAGCATATGAGAGCATCATATGGGTGTGTTTTTATTTGGCTCAACTCATCTATTTAGACAGATATTCTCAAGTCCGTTTCAGAAAATTTTTAATCTATAATAGGTAAGGGGTCCACGTAGGCCTAAGTATTTTTTATATCTTATACTTTAGCCAACGTGAATTCAATTCAAATATATTTTTTGAAGAAAAATAGAAGGTCATTAACAAAAACTATCAAGTGGCTCTTTTGACGTCATTGGAGTACTTTTAAGTTTAGTTTGCATAAAAAGGTTCATGAACGAACCTATGACCCAACGACTCCATGCAACGTAAGTTTCAAACCATAGGCTGGCGCCTACTTTAATCTAAGGCTGAAACATGACAATATGCCACTTTTACGACGATGAAACCTGGGGGTATCTAAGCATAGCCGGTCGGGAATGGACAGCATGAGGCTCAAAGTCCCGACCCCGAGATCTGGAAACCAAACAGAGGACGCTGTGCCAACCCCGCCTACCTCAATGAACCCAAGTTATAAACTAAACAACAAAATGATTTAATTAATACAAGTATACAACCGATACAAAATTAATATGTAGCAGAAAAATAAAAGAGAATATAAATATAGGCTTATCAATTACAATTAGTTTTTATTTGCTGTACAAGATACATCATAAAACTTAATGAATTTGAAAAATGAAAGATGTTTTTAAGTGTAAATAGGAAGTTTTCGATGAACGACGTTAACCTTAGTACCCAACTTGCAGCGCAATAACTCCGCCCCTTTTGTAAACAAATCAAAATACGCATGCGCAAACCCGTAAGTAACGTACGTCGAGCACGTAAAATCCTGAAATTAACGTACTCCGGAACGCAAGATGAATAAATTATGACGTCATCCGTTAACGTTAAGGTTAACGTCGTGCATCGAAAACTGCCTAGGCCTATTACTCAAGCAATCATCCTCTAATAATTCAAACCAAATATAGAACGCCTCTATAAATTTTTAGAAGGTTTTTACTAAGGCCTACTTAAACATCTTTCCGCTCGCCCTCCTTAAGATTGAATGTGCACTCATCAATACCTTGGCGCTAATGTATCTAATTCCTTCAGGTTCGGTATCATGCACCTACTGGCTACAGATATTCTATTCTGGTTTGACATTGTTGTCTATGATACAAAGGAAGATTATCAACACCCTACGATACACCCTTTTTGTAATTCATCGGCACAAGGTAGGTCTAATGAGGTTTAATTATATTATAAACTAAACGTATTTAATGATAATTTATTATATTTAGACCAAACTTGATTAATCAATCATGACATTGTAAAATGGCTACACTAAAAATTTCATTAAAATAAATTACTGGTATGAATATTTTAATTATATTAGTTAACAGAATTTCAAGTATCCTATAGCATTCTACACATGGAAATATACAGTAAGAAGAATAACGACCGACGATGTCATTTTATTTTCATTTCATATCATTTTAATGCCAGCGACTTTAGTCGACATATTTTCCTTCTATTTATTCGGTATCAGTATATCACCTTGGCTGTCCCCGACCTAATAAAAACTGCCACTTCTTCAGTTGTTTATTAACTGGAAAAATATCACCCTGTTCTGATGGCATTACGTTATTCATGCTAAAACATCCGCAATATACTTCATATATTTTTAAGTACGGTCAACTTATCACTTTAATTTGAAAACAAACTGAAAAATGGAAATCAATCAAGATCATTCCAGTATTTAAGATTGGTAACTAGTATTGGTATTGGTACGAGCATTTATATTGTGCCTCTTCCTTTCGGTTATAAAGCGCACGCCAAATCTCCAAGCTCAGGGAAAAACTCAAGGCAGAATGTAATACAGATCCATTAAACATTTGGTACATAAATAGACAAAACATTAAGAGTTATTATAATTATATATTTATACACAATAAAATTACATTTTTTTACGCCCGGAAGAGGTGCCAGATTTCCATGAAGAAAGCAAAGTGGGAGTGGTCGAGCTTCGATTGAAAGGTTCCGAATGTGGTTCTGGGGTGAAGACCCCGAAAATTTCGACAACTTAGGGGTTTCAAAGGCTTATTTAATCGATTTTATAGTCTACTAATAGGTAAAAAATACATATGATATTTTTTTATCGCCGACGAATTGTGCTTTTTCTCCCGACAGGGGGACAGCTTTCCCCGACGGGGGCCCCCGGTTACCCCCGCTGGCACCACCCCTGGGTTTGGGAAAATCTTTTTGCTGACATTGTTTATGAACTTTCAGACTTGCTTTTATCAATGTAAGATTAGTTCTGTGCAGTAATCCTTCCTTTAATTTTAATATATTGCGCTGGGTTTCCCCTTTTCCGAGTTCCTGCATTGTTCCTGTATGGCTGTCAAACATTGAATTCGCACAATATGAAATATACTCCAGATACACAAATTAAAGCCAGGCTCCAAAGAAAAAAATGTTTTGATATGTTGCAGAACTGATTTTTCTAAGACAGAAAAGAAGTTGTTGACGAATAACTGGGGAACGGTGAATAAGATACAGATTTTTGAATATTTAACAACTCGGCGGGGGGGGGGGCGGCGGGGGGGGGGGGGGAGGAAGTGTACAAGAGGTGTTTTATTTTTTTTTCTTCCAAAGTCTTGCATAATAATATTCATTTTTTTCAAAAATTATGTAGAAATAGATAGGCCTAAATAAAAATTGGTATATATAATAACATTATTTATATAAAATTAAGCATTTGAATTATCAAAAAGAGATTGATATATGTTAAAAAATGTCATACTATTATTTATCCTGTGTTAGGTATTTCAAGGGAACAAAAGTGTGTAAATTTACAATTCAAACTCCTACTACCCAAAGACCCAATGGCAAGGATTCAATATGTAGTGAACAACAAAGTATAGAACACCACTGAAAGTAAATTTAACGGTAAACTTCATCTGAGCGATTATATTCTAATGTATTTGTTCATTAAGGAACACATTTATTTCAGATAATCAAGACGTTGGATCTGCCAGAACGTATGTAGGAGCATTTGCCGTCGAGTACTGTTTTATAGCCGTGTGTCTCTTAAGCAGCATGTGGAGTAATATCGGACGAACAGTGATCAGACGGAACACCGAGAACATCTCGAAGCACACATACCCCATTATGAAGTCATTGTACGGCATTATAGGGGGCGTGCTAGTACTTAGTCTTATTATAGCCCTTGGGGTATGTGTGTTCATTAGACTGTGTCCTCTTTGTGGGCATTATTTTAATATAACGGTCATTATTTATGGTTTGCTTTCCTTATGTTCTTTGATTTGTATGATAAACACAAACCTTTTAGAAGAAAGAGAAGGCGAGGGTGGCCCAAAACCAGAGGAATTCACTTCAAGTGTCATATACGATGGAGTTCTGTTAATGTTTTGTCTTAGTCTCTTTATCTTACAGACAATGTATACGACAGTTTCACTTATCATCCAATACAAAACAGATGGGTACACAACGTATGTTATTGCAGTTTGCCTGTACTTTTTCTTTCCCATTTCTCAGGCAGTCCTGCTTAGGCTCTGGCAAACACATACAATTGACCGATCAAGACGACATCGTTTTAACATGAATATGATAATATTCCTAACAATTTCAAATTTTGCATTGTGGATTGGCGAACATTATCAACAAAAACTCGGTCAGTTATTCTTTACAACAGAGACAAAAGTATATGGAATATATTTGTGGTATATAATACATCACATTACTGGCCCGTTCCTCATCCTTTACTTTTTCCATTCAAGTGTTTGTCTGTTTGAAATCTGGACATTATTTGGTTCAGTGTAATATATTACCGGTAGTTTGTATAAATTGAGGTGAAGCATGATGGAAAGTATTAATATTTATAATATTTATACAATATTTTGTATTGAAGGACAAATTAAAACTAAATATATAATACATATGAAGCCCTATGCCTGGTTGTATTATACTATTATTTATTATAATTAGACCTATTATTATAAATATTACATTAGGCTTATTTTATTATTATTATTATTATTAGTATAATAATAATAATAATATTATTATTATATATATAATATATGTATATATATATGTACACGACAAGCTAAAAAGTAAACGTAAGTAAACAGCCAGAAATAGAACCAGATCTTTCGGACAATACTATAGTCCTTCCTCAGTGGCGAGTGAGTGAGGGTAGAAAAAGCCAGATAGTATAAAGTGACAATTTCATGATTAGAAATAATAGGCTAGGTGAGATGAGAATAAACAGCGTGTGAACAAGTGAACAGGAAGGCGAAAAATAAACATTAGAGGCACGCCTCTATAAATAAGCCACATGATTTATACAGATAAATTTGGAATGCCAAGTTAATGGAAAAAAGTATTATGCTGTATTATAACTATATATGTAGGCCTATTGTTAATTTATTAATTATATTTTTTATACATTTTATAACCGATCTTATTGATAATGTATAATTTTAATTTTTTTAAATCTAAAACGGTTGCAATTTTTACATTTTTGTTGCTTTCTGAATAAATATATTTTTATTACATTTGGACACACCGTTAGGTATTGTCTAACGTTTGCGCTGCCGCTGTTGCAGAAGTGTTATCCAATTAATATTATATCAGTGTAAACAGAAGGCAGAAGTCTGTTTAATAGTGAAATATAGGACTGGTGTCAATGTTAGATAGGTTCACCTAGGTGTACTATAATGACAAGCAGACCACTGGGATGGTTCAATTCAATTTAAGGTTTATTTCCAAAATGTATTGAATTAAATTGTTTTTAAATATTATAACTACATGTAGGCCTATTGTTAATTTATTAATTATATTTTTTATACATTTTATAACCGATCTTATTGATAATGTATAATTTTAATTTTTTTTAAATCTAAAACGGTTGCAATTTTTACATTTTTGTTGCTTTCTGAATAAATATGTTTTTATTACATTTGGACACACCGTTAGGTATTATCTAACGTGTGCGCTGCCGCTGTTGCAGAAGTGTTATCCAATTTATATTAGATCAGTGTAAACAGAAGGCAGAAGTCTGTTTAATAGTGAAATATAGGACTGGTGTCAATGTTAGATAGGTTCACCTAGGTGTACTATAATGACAAGCAGACCACTGGGATGGTTCAATTCAATTTAAGGTTTATTTCCAAAATGTATTGAATTAAATTGTTAAAAAAAAAACAAAAAAAAAACGGGAACTTACTATTATTATTGTTGAATGATGTTTCGTCCAGTAAGTTCCAGTTTTTGATTTATATACAATTTAATACTAAACACTTACTGGATGAATGAAAACATTCAAAAAATGTATTGCAGTTAAAACCTGAATTTAATTACAACGAATAAAAAAGATGAAAAGAAATGATAGCATAATACTATATATATTCTCTGGAGTATTATTATTTCGATTTTTAGTCAGACAATCGTAAATCTCATTTCTTTTCAATTTTGTCTGTGCCTCTCTCTCTTTATTTTAATTTTTTTAATCAATTGATTTATAAATTCAATTTTTAAAATGTTTTTGTGTCAATATTTAAACTATATTCGTAGAATTTAATACTTGAGCTGTTTTCGATTTTTCAATATATTTTATATTTGACATTTTCATATGTAAAGTGTAATCATTCGTTGTAATTAAATATACTGTATATAAGAATAATAGGCAAACACCCCACATCACTGAATCAGATAGAGTAGTGATCAGACACCAGAGAGAAGAGATAAGAGAATTGACTCCACTCTGAATGGGTTCAACTCTAACATCTTAGTAACCTGGAGTTAATAGTCGATTGTAGGCCTATATATGTACAGTAGAATAGTTTATACTGAATAAAAGCTTGCAGTATAGGCCTATTGGTACAAAAGAACTGTGTTTATATCTCATTAAAAGTCAATTCCGACCAACCGACCAACTACAATACTACACTTAACCAGTTAGAATAAATCAAAAAGTTTTGATGCAGAATGTTTGCGGTATTTTGTTTGGCACATAAATACAGGGACCAAAGAATGTGTAATATAGTTGAAGCTATTGTTAAATATTATATTTATTTATTTTATTTATTTCAACAAAAATTTATGAGGGTGGTCGATCCAGCCTGAGCTGATCAATTGGACCCTCAGTATATACAATCAGAACATAAGTATAAAAATTAAACTAGATCATTAACATAAACAAAGTAATTGAATTAAAGCAGGAAAAAGAAATTAATAATAATAATAATAATAAAAATAATAATAATAATAATAAACCTATATAGGCCAAAAGTATATAGGACCAAATAAATAATGAATGAATGAATGAATGAATGAAAGTATATAAATTATATTAAATACTGATTTTTATTTCCTCTGGTTTCTTGTAAAGTGTCTAATAGGGGTGTCTCCTAATTAGGGGTGTCAAAATAGGGGTCTACCGATTTAGTAGTTTTATTGTAGATTCAGATGCAATAAAATTTATTTCCATTTCAATTTCGAAAAAACTAAAAGGAACATTGAGGCATCACCTAAAAACCAACATACTTGTAGCAGGGATGCCATAAACAAACATTCGACAAAATGTAAATAAGAAAAATTAAATCAATCAATTAAACAATATCAACGAGAATTAAAAAAAAATGTCTGTACTTAACAAACATCAACAGTTTATTTCCAAGGTCAGCCTAGCGTAGTTTAAATTTTAAATAAAATAGAATTTAAAAAAAAATAGAAATAAAAAAATAATTGTAAATTTACTGCACAAACTGGTACAGCACTTTCTAGACAAAAACACGTTGAGCTACTGTGCTGAAGCCTCCAATTATGATTTGGCTCATACGAAGAAGAAAACGCGGATGTGGAGGCTTGTTTGTGTGTTAATATTCAGTGAATGGTCTTTTTCATAGAAACTAAATGCATCAGAATACGAGAAATATATGAATGGATTTTGAGCAGTGTAAATCAAACTTAACAAGTGACCGACCAATCAGAACAGGACTAGGAATATTTGAGTTTCTACAATCACACAAGTTTATGGCCCTGTCACACCTTGACGATTTAGCCAGCGTATTCCGACGTATGAAGAAATGACGAATACGCTGGCGTACGTCGAGTCACACAGTAGCGTATAGAACCAACGTATGCCGACGTTTATCAAAATATTGGTTTACGTTCGCGTAAGTTGACATTCGTTCGTGACACGTTCGTAATACGTTTGGCATACGTTGTATTCGTTAGCTGTTCGTTGGGGTACGCGGAGGTACGCTGGGGTCGATTTTAATTTTTGGACATGTTCAAAATTTTGAACGTATGACAACGTTCTGCTACATACGCTATGTATACGGTGAGCATTCGTTGTTTGAACGTTTCGCACGTTGGGTGCACGTTGGGTTTACGTTTTCTGTTCGTCTGTTGTTCGTCCAAACACGTTCAATCCCATCTGAAACGTTGCCATAGCAAATGCATAACGTATTCATAGCGTTTGTCTAACTAATGAGTAACGAATGGCCAGCGAACACTCAGTGTATACCGACCTACATCAACGTTTACAAGGCGTCAATACGTTAGGTATACGTGTGACATTCGATGGACATTCGTTGTGTACGCTGAACATTCGTTGGGCGAACGCTGCGAACGCGCTGTCATTCGTTAAATGGACGCTAGTTGTAGGATGAGCATTCGTTTTTCATTCGTTGTGCGTTCGTCTTTCACGCAAAAATGTTATTTTTTGCCAAAAAAAATTGAGCGTATTTGAGCGTATCGGGACATACGTTAGGTCCATAGAGATATAATAAGAATACTAGAGCGCTAACAGCAATGTATTCGATGTTCGAAATACGCAGAGCCTGATAATATCCGCATTAAAGCAGTTAATCTTTAAAATGCAACATCTCTATCTTATGTCACCAAAGGTCAAGTGCCCAGGATCATTGACGTAACAAGATCTGTCTCTTATACACATCGAGATGTGTATAAGAGACAGGAAATAATATTCAGTCAGAGGGCTTATTTATGGTAATAATATGTATACTAAGCCTGGCGGTAGCGCTTTCCTACGGCAGCCATCTTGGATGGTACACATACACAACTCTGCATTCTTCCGCCATCTTGTCAGCACTCTAGTTGTTTAATAGCTCTATGGTTAGGTCTATTCGCTATTATGTGAAAGGGTTTTAAGTTTCGTAAGTTAAGAGCATGCTGAAGCACGCTGGTATACGTCCTAGTACGGCGAGTACGTCGAAAAGTGTTGTGCATGCACAAAACTTGTTGACGTATGCCAGCGTATCGCTCGTACGTTCCGCATACGAGGGCCATAAGTTGTAGGTAAGTTAAGCGATCGTTGACACACGCTGACACACGTTACTTGAAGTTACTCAAAAGTCAAAACGTATTTGTAACCTATGAGTAAGTGCTTCGAACTTATATGTAACTTTGTAATAAACTTATCTCCAACGTATATTCACCTATGTAGACATATTTAACGTGTTCCAGACAACCACAAAACTTACTGAACGTGTTTCTAATCTACAGTTATCGTATAATGGCGTACTGGCAGCGTTTAGGGGAATAGCTATATTAAAATGGTGTGATGTTAATACGTTGATACTGCGATGTCTAGTGCGGTTATGTTTTGAATCGGCGAGCGGCAGCCTCTTTATAGGCTACGTCACATGATCATCGGCGATACGCTGCTGCGCGCTGTGCATAGCCTATCGCTGGGCATAAGTTGTGAACGCCGGCTACACGCTAAGCATTCGTTCGTGTAAGTTTTTTATAAAGATCAAAACGTTCTATATAAGTTACTAATACTTATTTATACGTCCAATACGTTATGAATACGCTACGAATGCGCCCAAAGTTAAAAAAAAAAAAAAAAAACATCGATAGTTCATCGTATGCCAGCGTTTTATAGAAATTTTGATGCGTTTGGCATAGGCTGACTAATACAAAGGTCAAAGAGAAGTTATTCGACGTCACTCTCAATTTCGTATACTGCATAAACGGTCGCGTCGAATGGTTAGATGATTTGGAAAAATGTGTTTTCTGTCAAATGAAAGTAATATTGAAACGTTTACGGCAGGTGGTCCACTTATTATTATATCAATATTATAATTATTGCACATACAGTTAGTTCCTGTTCAGCATCAAACGCGTCGCCAACCTTCTGTTCGTATTTTGAGGTAGTGTAAGTATATCTATAGAGGATCTGTTTTGATAAGTAATACTCCAGACAATCATAAGGGAAGCTGTTCAATTTGGTCCCAAGTTGTAAGACCGAGGTGGTCTCATTCAACTTGACTTTTAACAGGAGTTGACATTGTTAGGAATATAGTTTATATAGATGTCGCAGTTTATTATTGGTGGCCCAGAAGTTTGCCGAAAAGGGATCCAATGAGTAAGACCGAGGTAGTCATAAAGAATTCTTGATCCTATCAGGATGTAAAATAAATGTAATTCTACTGGAATAGAATATTAATAGAGTGTCTTGAGAAGGATGTTGGTTCTATTAGTTGTCTTAGTCATTTAGGGAGCGTTTATTAGACGAAAAAAATTAACGTCTGATACAACTGGAGCTAGAAAGGTAAAGTAAGCAAAAGAAAAGCAGACAAATCCGGTTGCCGATGTTCGGCTCTACCGACCGACCAACCAACCAACCAATCAACCATTCAGCCAACCAACCAACCAACCAACCAACAAACTAACCAACCAACCAGCCAGTAAGAAGTAATAAATCCATTTCTATGCACACTTTGCGTCGATGGTTATCTGCCGACGAGATTCTATGAGAAACGCTATGGCTGAAAGTACATTGAGCGTAGATAGTAGAGTGAGCGTAGTAGAATGTGTATGTCAGGGGGATACATTTCGAAGTAATTTAAAAAAATTAATAATAACACCGTACTTTTGCGTCTTTCCGGCAGCTACTATCTATTTTAAAATATCGTTTATGTAATTAGTTTATATCTTTTTCCAAAATAATTAATAATAATAATAATAATAATAATAATAATAATAGTAATAATAATAATAATAATAATATGTAAGTAATAACATTGATGTTGATAATGATTGATATCAGATTAATGATAATGCTGATCATGATTATGATGTTGATGAAAAGCATATCACAAGATACTTGATAATAATAATGTTTGTTTATATTGTTTAATTTCTTTTCGGTTGATGGCATGGTGCCATATAAATGGAACGATATTGATTGACTGACATTAACAATTTTTTTCAGTTGCTAGAGTCAGAACAAAATTTATCATGTCTGGATATCTAAGTATCCAGCAGTCATCTTCCTCATCATTTTTGCCATGTTCTTCGTCCACTTTCGCATCCACACGTTCTTCATCATCGTCGCCCTCGTTTTCAAGGAACCATCAAAATGAGATTCAAATGTCAAATAATAAGGATCCTTACAAGTAAGCTAATGCAACTATCAATTATAAAAAACATGTACTTATTTATGAGCTGAGACAACTATATAAAATAATATATTTAATATAGATGTCGCAAGTTTATCAGTTTTTTTAGATCACAACATCAGGTACTGCAATCACAGCGGGCCACGTGTGTTCCGCAATTTTTACTATGCGGCCTGTTCCTTGACCCGAACACCTCCAGTTGGTAAGTTTGCTTATCAAAAAAGAAAATTAGTGTGGCCCCTTAAACAAGTTTTATTTTCACCACAAAACGAAAATTTAATATATTCAAAATTAAGTCTGAGACTGCCAATCCGCCCATCTGGAGGTGCCATTAATGTTCTTAGCTGAGCCCCAACTATGATGGGACTGAGCTGGTATAGACCCTTCTCTGTGAAAGTACCTTCCTGGGCCCCTCTACAGTATTTGAATTCCTGGATACGCCACAGGTGTATATCAACCATTACTTTATATATCATATTGTATATCTTATACATGTAAGAGGACTACGCCTGAGCTTTTTTATCTTATATTCCTACTTTGTAATAATAAATCATTGTTGTACAGTATGTTTTTGTACAGTTGTGCCTTATAGGCCTCTAACAGTCTAGGACAATGTATATCCTATAACCTCTTAAAAGCTATTGTTGATCACTATTTTTTTAGATTCGAAGCGAGTAGGATTTTGAGTGGAATGTACGGTCTTGTTATCACGTTGGTGGGAATTGGTATCATTAATGCTGCGGTTATTATTCCTCTCAAGACTTCCAGTAAGTCAGTGTCATCAGATTCACCAACGCCTCATCCTGGACTCAATGCAATATACAGTAACAGCTATCTGGTATTTTTATCAGCGATTGGCCTGCTTTTTATGTTGCCTACTTTTGCTTATGATGTTTATCTTTATCGTATTTATTCTACGTCCATTATTGGTAACACATCAAGCAACACGTTGAAAGGTTGGATGATTTATGTATTTGCATTAGGCAACAATGTATAGTTGTCTTTATCTTCACTCTCAACTTCATCTCTGTTTTTAAAAATTCCTTTTCCCTTAGACTTCATGTAATCTTACATTTCACTATTCATCTAACCTTCAATTTTATGCTCATTATCGTGTATATGCAACATCTTGTTCATTGTCATATTCATGTCAACTTTATGTTCATTATCCTCTAATTCTACTTTTTCATCATCCTCACCACTTTCATCAACGACTTTCTCTTTTGATTTACATCTTTATCGAATTTTTCTTAACTTTCTCTTCCATATCATAAGCTTCAACATCGTCTTCATCAATTTTTAAAACCTGTATTCACATCTATATTTTCATTTTGAGATTACCTTTTTAATATTATTGGCATTATTATCTTAATTTTATATTCATTATTTTTTCTTCTTTTATCTTCACTATGTCAACATTTTTAAATATTCCTTCATCTTCATCTTTAAATTATCATCAATTTCAACATAAAATAGTTGTGTTGATGCTAATGATATTGATGGTAATATGGATAATAATGATGACGATGTTGATGATGATGATGATGATGATGGTGATGATAAAATAATGATTATAATCATGATAAGTAATAATAAAGTGAAATAGATCAAGGTAAAAAGACCATTAAATGAGGGTTAGAAGAAGCGAAGAAAGATGCTAAGAAAATTACCACAAAGAGAAA